GCAGCTCAACCACACACTGACTCACAGGAAGTCAGTTAGAGAACTGGGCTTCCCCTGGTTGGTCCTCTTCAGCCTTTTACACGGAGCGCTCACTTGTCAAAGCAGCACATCACTGTGATGAAGCTGTGAGAGAAATCAAATTTAGTATAATTTGATTAAACTAACAGATGAACCTCATAGTCATTCTCCTCTTCATCAGCTCACTCCATCGCTGCAACTAAAAGGTCGGAAAAATCAGACCTAATAATGACAGCGGAGAAAAAAAAACACAATAATTTAGTCTGTATCATTTTAATTTGTCATGTATTTTTAAAAAAATGCAGCATGAAATGTCTATGTTAAATCAAGGTCAAATTGAGGGCGTGATGGGAAAATACAGAAGCTGTAGTGCTATATGCTTTGTGTCCAGCAGAGGGCGCTTCAGTAAACTGTAACTTCTTTAAGCAGAGCAGAAGTTTGAGCAGTAATCATTCATTTGTTTTCCTATTGAAATATTGAGGAGTATCTAGCAGCAGTTCCCTGGTCTCATCACCATCAGACTCTGTTACCATCAGAGGCTGTTCTCAGATTTATACAGTGAACAGTCTGATTCTCACATCCTCACTTCACTATATGAGCTGCTACCAAATAGGAAATAATAGAGTCCCCATTTACAAACTCAATATATTTATAATTCCATCTGTTGACAATAAGGTAGCCGTTTAGTATGAAGGTTATTTCCATGTGAAAATCTTTGATTATTATTATGATTAAATTATTATTATTATTATTATTTTTTGAATACATGTGTTTGGGTGTATGGATATTTTTTTTCCCTGAAAAACTTGTGTAATTTGTTGGGTTTTTGTATTCACTGTAGTGTAAATATGTACTTTAATATAAATTAATTTTATTCCTTTTTATTTTATTCTAGCATACATAATGCAAGATAAATCCCACCTACAGAGACAATAAACTATGGCCTCTGTTTGTCACCATTAGGCTCCTCCCACCATCAGGATTTATGACTTTTCAGTTCATAAATCCTTCACTCTCATGCTGTAATATCCTCTATTACCCAAAAGTTCATCTCAGAGTAGAGTAATTAGTTTACACGGATTATTTTGTATTATTTTATGACATTTTTCAGAGATTATTCTGATGTGTTCAGGGTGATGAATGGGTTCCAGACTGTAGAGGAACTTCAATTCCCAATGAGATATCACAGCTGATTTGGCGCCCCCTATAGACAGCATATAAAAGTGTTTTCTTTATGTGTAACTAAACCTCTACCTTTACCTTCCATTTGTTATTATGACCTTTTCAACCTAACCCTTAAATGAGGGATTTTGAATAAACTATAAAATAACAGCTCACACAGGGTGGCCTGTAGTAGTCTTGGATTTATTTTATTACATTTCACTTTAAAAAGATAGAAACATACGTAAATATCATCTGTGAAGAAAAATAAGTGTATGGAACGTTGAGGGCAGATTTTGGCTTAGAAAATATCCAGAAAATTAAAATGTAAACTTTCTCTTCCTGAGAATTGAAGCTTTTTAGAAGAGAGGACGAGAGTTGGAGGAAGAGTTTCTGTTTTTATTGTTGTCATGGTGAAGGGGTAAATTATTAATTTTAAGATATAAAGCAGTTCCTCTAAACTCTTGGGAACTTTGTGTTTCCTCCTAAGACTTACTGGAAAATGAAGGAGGAGGTAATATCAGTGTATTAAGCTCAAGAGTTTTAAACTTGATGAATTGGGACGAAAATACTGGACAAACATTATAGTCAGACTAATTAAATTAGTTTTACTTTGTTTTCATTAAAACATATTAGCTTGCTGAAAACAAAGTAAACTAATTAAGTTAGTCTGACTGTAATTTTGTTTTCATCAAGACACCTGAGGTTTGCCCTGGACGCCTCCCTGCTAAAGTGTTCTGGACACGTCCCACAGGGGACCCAGAGGGAGACCCAGGACACACTAGAGGGACAGGGACTATGTTCCATGGCTGGCCTGGGAGTACCTTAGGGTTCCCCCGGAGGAGCTGGCCCAAGTGGCTGAGGAGACGGACATCTGGGCCTCCCTAACGAAGCTGGTACACCCGCGACCCGACTAGGGGTGTAAATAATAATCGTATTGTATCGATGCATCGATCCAACAGCCGACGATCCGATGCATCGACACCTCTGCAAGAGTATCGGTTCATGTTTTTTCTTTCCTCTGGTCTATTTTTATCCACTTGCTTGTCAACATAATTTGACTCCCGTGCTGCGGTGGCGCTAAACCTATTTTGCCCTTCTACCTCGCTTCCTTTAGCCACTACCCTCTTTCTGCATGTACACACACAGTCGGGTAAACAGTAGGCAAGACAGACGTGGCAGAGGAAAAAGAAGGTGATGTATTCTTCAGTATCGAAAATAATCGAATCGTTGGGTCAGGAAATCGATA